ATCAAATTATGTAATTATTCACACAAATAATTATTGTTATTCGAAGTTAACAAAAATGAACAGATTTTTGGAAATCTATGAGTAATAAGAAACCGGCCGCCATCTTGGAGAAGCTAGTACCTAAAATTGTAAAAAAAATATAAATAAATAAATCTTTCATAATTATGGTTTAACGTTTATTATTTTTACACTTGTTCACTTGCCTTATGACCAGTATAAGTTTAAGAAATTAGTCTCTGATTTTTATTTATTGAAAGTTTATGGAAATCTTCGTCCCTCAAGATATTGACCATGGAGCCAATCTTATTATATTAAATTATTATGATTTCCCCAATTTCTTGGGGAATAAAATGTTGCTGAAGATCCCCCGAAACGTTCAATAAATAACAATGAAAGACTAATTTGATTAATTTATACTGACCATAAGGCATGTGAATAAGTAAAAATTTCCACGATTGCAATACTTACGCTTACTATATATTACATATATACGTAAGTGAAACTAAAAATTTATAAATATAAATCTGACCTGAATCCGATAAATTAAACGAAATAACCGTTTTTGTTGTATCAGAATTGTTTTAAAATATTAGAATAAGAAAACACTTACAAAGAGTTAATTATTAATTCATCGGAGCTGATTGAAATGATCGTTTTGTTAAGAATTGAATGGTATAAAACAGGCCACGCGATTCTCAGTTTAGGAGGCGGTGGGCGGTACCGATTATCTTCTTGCGTTGAGCCATCTGTACCGTAACCAGCTGATGGAAACCGAATCCAATCCAGATTTTTTTTCTTTTAATTTATGGTAATTCGGCGTTTAAAATGTTATCTTTTTATGGTACAATGAATAATCATTTTAATGATGATTGCTATCATAAGTAAAATAGAATAAATAAGATTCAGTTCAGAATTGCATGAACACACTGTTTGATAAATATTGTTTGGACTTAAGCATTGATTCTCACCCCGAAGTCTCACAAAGAGCATATACGAAAGTACAACTGGTTCATAAAACTATAAAGGATGTCTCAATTCTTAACGAACAAACTGCAGGAGGTGGTTCTAGACAAAATTTCCAACCAAAAGTTTAATTTGATGTATGGGCCGAAAAAACTGAAAAGAAGTGAAGTACAATTTTTTATTTTCTTAAGCTGGTCTCAGTTTGTCTTTCATAGGATGTGATAATACAAACATTATTTAATGGCGGTTATTACAAATTTCTTGATAGTAAACTAGACAAACTTTCCTTTAAATATAAGTACGGGTTGAAAAAAAAAAAATGAAACACTAGAGTTGTTTTCACGTAAACTTATTTAATACCATAAGAATCAATTCCCGTAATAGATATATGTGTTATAAACAATGGTTCATTATTATCTTAAGTAATAAATTTTTGAAAAAAGCAGTATTTTGAAACATATTTTTAAATGAATAAAAACTGTATTATGATAATTAATTTACTAAAATAGATGTCACGTCACAAGAAAAAAAAGGGATACAAACTTTTTAATAATTTCTCGGTTATTATTTCTGCTGAAAATAACGATACTCTGGAGTCACAATATATCAAATTTAGTGTTGCCCAAATGCGAGATCGAGACGAGTCTTGGTCTTGCAAGCTCTGTCTTGGTCATGGTCTTGGTCTTGCGCAACAATATTGCAGTTACATATTACCTTATTACTATAGAGATATTACTGTAATATTTTAGATAGGAGAAATCTAACTAACCCGGAATGAAAAATATATATTACTTTAGTATAAAATTAGATAATGTTTGAGTAATAAAACATATTTGATCCTTAGTCCGACTTTAATTCTTTTTTTACCCAACATTTCAGCCATTTAGGTCATTTTCAAGGAAGGGACTTTTTAAAAAATACACAGCACAGGCTGATTGTAGTTACATGTTAATTATTTTTGTAATTTACTACCTATTGGTATGTAAACACGATATAAATACAAATAAAAATATTAGGGCTCCTCGTAACATTTTCCATTGTCAATGTAATCATTTAATTTTTTTTTAATCCATTATTTATTTACCGTTATTAAATTATTTCTATTATGTATTATTAAAACTAGTTACAACCCTTTAACATAAATATTAACATTTAATCCATAGTCACATTACTCAGTCAATTATATTTACATTTTTTTTATTTTAAAAAAATCATACATTTTATTTCTGTTTCCTAATTTTATATAAAGATAAAAAAAAAAATATTTCATTCACTAAATGATTACCTAACATTAGCTATATTATTTGTCCTATCCTATTATTTGTTTTACTTTAAGACTCAGTATTAATAATTCTAATAATACAATTAATCTAGGGCACAGTTAATGGTATTGAGTAAATTTAATACTTATTTAATTTAATAAAGGAAAATCTGCTAGAGAGTGGTAGAGAATTTGAATTTAAATCTAAGATATATTTTTCCTTTCAAAGATAAAACATGTGAAATATTAATGAATTGATTACATACGGTATTCATCTTTTCTTTAATATCCAATTGGAATTACCATGATCCAAACCTAAGTAGGTGTGACAACATCCATTTCATTTTCCTGGATGTATTTATCATGTATTACATCTACGATAAATGCATTATTCTTGTTTTTCGACCGAATCGGGATAACATATCAGGTACTTCTAATCTCACTCTAGATACCCGCCCAGTTTATAAAAGTAATTATATTCCCATATTGAGAAAAATTTTACCGATCGAAATAGAAAATTTAAAATAAAATCAAGTTCAACAATTTATATATTTTTATTTTCATACAAAATCCTATTTAAGAGTTTTAAGAATGCTAGAAACGAAATTTTATCTGCTTTTCCGTGACGGCCTACTTTACAGAAAGCTTCTTTTGGTTTTCATGATTTCTTATACATCTGAATTTATCTAATATAATTAGCTTCTTTTTTTTTAACAAGAAAAATAATTCGATGGGTATATTATAGCCTTCAAATACACCCAGAACAAAGACAGAAACAATAATATAAAAAAAATGGCAAGAATTAAATATTCTAATACTTTTCAACTGTATTAACTTTATAGAAAAAAGTTTCATAGAAATCGGTCATCTTACGTCCGTTAACTTATCTTTATTTAATCTTTGACTTTTAAGTTTTATGATTTTAATCCAATTGTATCACCACATTCAACTGCAAATATTTTTAACTTCATATACTTTAAATTGTATTCGTTAGCTAATTGTATTTTTGTTATTTCTGCCAAAGTAGAAGTTGATCCAATTGTAATATAGGGTAAACATGACCCAGATGGTTGAAGAGTCCAAAACATTTATAAATAAATAAATATTTATTCATCTTAATATTTTGATTTACAAGTGTGAATATTTTCAGTAAGAGGCCTTGTGATTTACAGCAAATCGTCAAGTATTCCGACATTTGAAGCGTTTTTTAAAACAATTCATGCTGCATCATTGCAACAAGGATCACGTATCGAACGAATTTACTCTTAAAACAAAGATCAGTTACGCAATGTAGCCAATAAAAAGAAAAATTAAGAATTCTATTTATTGGAAGTATTATTGTTGTTTGCTCTGATCAAGAATGTAATAATTTAATTATCGATCGAGGAGTTATTTGTAAACATTTTGACAGCGGGTAAACATATCACAGAGATGAGATACAGTCTTATCTTTGGAGTCTTTTACACATGGCGCCTGACAGAGATGTTAGGTGTTCCTAAACCTATTATCTGGCCTGATATAGCTGAAGCCGGAACAGATGCATAGAATTCTAAAATAATTTTAAAAACTTCGTGAGACGACTTTTTTCTTTAATAGTTGTTATTTAGTCAGTTTAATCTATAGAGACATTTAAAAAAGTCTTATTCGATTAACCGCGAAAATTTCAGACGCTCCTGGTATCATTTGAAAAATTATTTTTTTAGTCATAAGAGTCATTTATTTCGAAATTCCTTTGGCATTACAAACAGAAGTAGGTACCTTAATCTGGCAAACTGAAAACCATTACTGTAGCACATCTTACCGTAAATATCATTTGCATGCAGTCACTAGTGCTTCCCAAAATCAGTCTAGTGAAAAACAATAGATTTTTTAAATAAAAATTAAGGCAGAATAGTTAGTAATACTTGATAATCGTAGTTACTATATGTAAAGAATTGGTATAACTAATATACTTTTGTAATTAACTGTTCTAATTTTTCTTTCGGGCTTAGTTAGGTTTCTCCTATTTTAAAAATTACAGTAATATCTTTATTACAGTAATAAGCTAATAGGTGACTGCAAGACTGTTGCGCAAGACCAAGACCAAGACCAAGACTGAGTCCGCCAAGACCAAGACTCGTCTATAAATAAATAAAGCGCAAGAACAAACTTTTAAATATATTAAAAATTTACTACTCTTATATTTTTCTTTAAATTGTCTATATAAATAACGTTAAGTATATTAAATAATAATTAAGCAATATCTTTACACATTTTTTTTATTGTTGTCTACATTATAAAGGATGAGAATGAATTTCAATGGTAACTTTATTTTTTTGGGAGGCGTCGTGAAAAATTACCTCTGGACTCCATGGTTTTCTCCACGACCGTTGTTTTTCCTCGTTCTTCTTCGATAGAGTTTCCGGATTGTTCGTCCATTATGTTCTTCATTTTGTTCCTCCGTAGGTCTCTTTCTGTTTCTGTTTTGCACCTTCTATTTCATAACCATCATGGTCCGCCGGTCTCCAACGCATATCTACATTATTCCCGAGTTCTATAGAAATAAGTGCTAGGTTACGACTAGCAATATTTTCCAGCCGTACTTGAATGATAAATGGTAATGGTAATGAATGATAAATGGTAATAGTTTTCTTTGACGGCTAGTTGTGGAAATTCTGCTGTAATTTCATCGTGCAAATCTAAGCATATGCTTAAATTTCTCCTAGGATCGAACTTTTGCAAAGCTGCTTACGATGATGCTATTCCAGGCTATGGCTCATCTCCGGGATTTTACTTCTTATTGCTTATCACATAACATGTGATCCCAAATTTCCGATATTAAACCCTCCCAACTGGACCTTATGGGAGAGCAGGCATCAGGAACTGGGAGGGGGACAGGACAATCTGTCTTGTAGGGCTGGCTGTCAGTTTGTAAAGGGTTGACACAGCTCTTAATTACCCCGGAGTTCTGTGTCTTGGGCAGCCTCCCTCGGGTATCGGTGTACGGTAAGTGGTGTAACCCTTCATTAATCTCTCTATTGACATCAGCAGTTGTATTTTCGCTCAGGATAATGACATCTTAAATATCTAGTTTAATACCGGTTGTTACAAGACAAATGGCTTTTATTAGATAAACAAAATCGTTTGCTAACGTTATATTAATGGAAATTCATCTAAGTTAAATTTGAAAACCTACCAAAAAAATCAAGTTCTATTGTCAACTCTGTTGTTTATTGTATGTTGTAGTTTTTTGTAGCGGTTTATTTCATAATCTACTCCAACTACATTGTGAACACTATATTACCGGATATTATAACAAGAATAGATAAGTAGGAAATTTTATTTAAATACCTTTCGAAATAAATCTAATTCTTCACGCCAAATCAGAACGGCACACTTTTAAACTTTATGTTTATTTATTTATATATATATTTACAATTAAAAAACACCGAATTTTAATTGGTTCTCTGAGGATAACTGATTTCTTACCTATAATGATAAAAGAATAATTAAAGCTTTTATATTGCTGTAGTAGCATTCTATTTATTTATTTTTATAACAGTGGATTGATAGTTGACTGTAGTGAATAATTAAAGAATAATAATTCCTAACTTAATATATAACGGCAACCACTGGACCTTACAGGATTTTAGCATCAATTCCGTTTTATCTCGAAAATGGTACATTTTAAGATTTTGAAACGGAGTACATCCTTTGGAACTATACCTTGTCTTCCTTGTCTCGGTCTATCGATTTTTTAAATCTCTAAATTTTTGGAGTGGCTTTTTTGTTTTTAGTAAAGTTTTAAGTATGGATATTGCAAGACGTCACTTCTCCGTGACTCAATTCCTTATCGTTTAATATTTCATACATAAAAAAATATCGCTCTTGAGACCCCGAAAGGAATTTATACTACCATATTCTATGCAGTGTAGATTCTCAGTTTCAGTTGTGAAACTTTTTAAACTATATTCTACATTATTTGAGATAAATATTACATTCTATTGAATAACTACATTAGTAAATAGTAGCCTGAGCTTGGTTGGGGGTCGGGAAAAAGAAAGGGCAATAATCGGCTCAGCTGTCGATAAGGGTAAGAGGGGGAGCGGTCGGACAAAGGAGTAGGCAAATGGGGTCCTATTTGGAGGGTTCGGGGGCAGCCATTCTCGTGGGGTACGGGGGGGTCTGTACCCAATGGGCATTGGGCCATGGATAGGGGCGAACGATAGGGTGGGGGATTTGGCACTCCATGTGAGGAAATAATTTATCAGTCAAGTCATGGAGTCTTCTTAATCCCTATTAATATGTTGAGCTAAAGAGTTTGTTCGTTTGAACCAGCTAATTTCAGCAACCACCCATAGGCTTAAGGAACCACGACTAGTGATAAAGAAAGGAGAATGAGAAAATAAAGAAAAGTCACTGCAAGACTTAACAGCGTTCCTTTAAGCTCGGATATATAGCCTAATACAGAGCACAGGCGGATCTACGGGGGGGCTTTCGGGCTGAAGTCCTCCCCCCAAAATGGTAAAATATAACCATGTTTTACAAAAAAAAATATTAAAAACTATCTCTTAAAGTATTCTAGTTCGTGTAATTACATTTAATAGGATTTCAAGAACCACTTAAACACCATTTCATATAGGTAGTTAATTTCTATTTTTTTTTCAATTAATTATCGTTATATGTATATGAAAAAAAATCTTTCAGGCTGAAGCCCCCCAAAATTAAATCCTGGATCCGCTAGTGATACAAAGATTCTAATATACAAATCTATGTTCAAGCCTATAATATGGGTCATTAATGCCAAATACCGGGATTGGTTGTGGCGAAAACGAACTTTTGGAGAAGAGCCGCAAGAAAATCCAGAAGAGAAAGAATTAAAAATGAATGAATTCTGAAACTGATGGTAGTGAAAAAAAATGTTTAATAGATATTGAAGAAAAAGTCTGCAGAAGGACTTCCAAAAATAAATATGAAATCGGAAATAGAAGGAGGGAGGAAAAAAGGGACGACTAGGAACGCAGAATGGAAAGACGAGGATGAGATCTTTAGACAAATAGACAATACAAATAGTAGAAAATTTCTTAATAAAAGAAATACGGCAGTTTTATTTGTTATGTTTTACCTCGAATACATAATACTCAACCAATAGGTTGTTGTTGTTTTTTCAGATATGATCAAATTATGACTAACCAATATGTTACCTTCGTGATAGTGATAGGATATAATATATATTTCCTGGAAAGTATATATACAAATTGTATCTTATTTGCTGACAAACGGACAAGGTATTAAAAGAAACACGAAATTTTATTGTCAATATTTCTTAACAAAAAAGTATCTATAAAAATTTACTATTAGATGCTCCCACAACTCTCTGACCAAACCTCTGTAACTTTATGTATGTGAAAAAAAAAAAAATCTATTGATGATGATGAATTTCGATTTTGTATGGTTCTAGCCATTAATAATTCTTTATCAAAATTAAAACTCCGTTATGTAAATAGATAAAAATATTTGCGCGCACATTTCTCTTCTTCCTACTATTTTGATTTTGTATCATCAATTGGAAAATACATCACATGTTATGAATCTCCGTTATATCTAATTTGTATTTGATTTAATTACAGCTGTAATGCAGTTGGATGAGCACTTAGAGGACCGTGACACCCGCGGTGGCATCTATTTTCGGTACATGGCCGTAATTGAGGAAAACGGTGGGGAACAAGCTGTATTCTGGTACGGCGAGGCGAGGTCCTCGTTGTTCCATGTCGATTCGATGGGCGAATATTTCGGGCGGATAGCGACCGTCAATCCGACAAGAGCTGGCGGGCTAAATGCATTTCCGATTGCATGTTGCAGGCTGACACGGTCTGCCACTGCGGGTTTTAGCTCCCCCCCCCCCCTCGCCAAATGTGTCCTCGCCGTTGTCCCAATGCATTTTTAACCCGAATCATTTGACTTTTTAAAAGCATCATAAAATTTTCGCTTTTAATTCAACCGGCAAGACAAATCTGTTACATTATTCTCGATTTTGACGCTAATCCATGGATTTGATTCTTTTTACCTTTTTAACGAGTCCTGATTTACGGCATTGAGATACCCTATCGATGCTATATCCTCGCTGATATTGTTGTTTACACGAATATGATTTTAAATGTTGTCTTTTAAATGATTTATTGCTAATCTGAAAACTCGGAAAAGACGTATAAATTAAACTTATTAAAATTAATTAATCGTTTATTAATATTACGCAAAGTTCTAAGATTTTTAGCAATGCTCACTATAATTTATTGCCAATGGATCTTGTCTCCTATGTCGAAATTAATTTTCGGCCGAATTGAAAATCTCTATCAAACAAGCGAATATTTCATAATTATATATAGCTTATAATTTATAATGTTCTGTCATTCTATTAAATGTGTTATTAATGATACTAATTTTCAGAATTTTATATTTAAACATTAAAATATACAGAAATATATATATTAAAATAATAATTTATATTTTAGTATTAATACTTTATAATCCGCAAACAAGTAAGACAAAACAAAATGTTGATTCACATAAACTATTATATGAACCTTTCAGTTGACAGAATGACTAACTCAAATTTCAACATTTTTGAGTAAAGTCATTTTAGTGATATTTTTGGTTGGAAAATTAATAATACCTGTAAAGACTGTGAGTTGATTCCATAGTAGGTGATTGCAGAGTTGAAATACAGAACCGTGAATAAAGGTGTAAATTTTTCTCCCCAGAAATATCTCTAAAATTAATTATCAAAAATGTTGAAATTGGACTTAGTCATTTTAATTAATTTTAATATTTCATTCACCTGAAAGGTTCATATTACACCTATTAAAATATAAGACTTAAAACGTAAAACCCTATTAAAATATTCTTAACAAATAACCAAATTTTTATTATATATTTTCATTATATTTTACCATACAAATCCTTTCATATGTAAAACATAATATTATTATGTTGTATGAAAGAAGTTCTGACTATACGGAGCCAAAAGTCATTAAATTATTGTTCTCTAAATATGGTTAAAGTTGTACGCCAAAATTCACTATCTGGTACTTAATGTCTTCTTTCACTGGATTAATTGATCATATGGTCAATGATTTCTATGGTCAATGACTACAATGAGAACCAAAAGCTCAGCATTTAATAAATAGTTAACAGTTAGCAAATGCTGTTTTATAAATTTTATAATGTTTCTGTCTCTGTGGCCGAGAGTCCGAAACCCCAACTCATGTATTGAGCAAAAAACTGTTGACAGACCATAGAAATAAAATCAATGAATAGCCGATATTCCTGGATATCTCGGCCTTGAGTGTGAAAGAAAAAAAAGGGGGGGGGGCTTTAATAGTGGAATAAACAATTAGATTTTAAACGAACGATAAGAATCGAAATCTCAAAATTCAAATAGGAAAATAAAAAATCTATAAAAATGCATTCCATGTCTACAGGACAAATATAAAAAGGAATTTGGTAAGACAAAAATTTCGGTTCTGGGAGCACTTATGCTCCACTACTTAGGATTTTTGGATCAGTGGAACAATGCCAGATGGTAATTTTTTGAAGAAGTATTTAAAGGAATCGACTGGATAATTCTGGCCACTGTTTTATGAATTCTAGGGATATAAAGGATAAGGAAGAAAATAAGAAGAAAAACTCAACACAGTTGAGCAACCTTTTCAGTTCTATTGTACTTTTCTTGAAAGGTGTATTTAATGAATTACTTTTATATTGAGTAGTAGGGGTGTCCAGAATTTCATGGTGCAAACTGTGCCACAGAAATTTTTTAAGGGAACACATTTCGGCGGAATAACCAATATTCAAAGTGAAAAGTTTCAAATAAAAAGGTAAGTGTAAGCTTGGAACATTTTGCAGGATGTAGAATTATATATAATCTACGTTTTTTTAAATTCTACTTTCGCTAGCACTGTTTTTATGAAGAGGAGAGCAACAAAATATTTTGGTAGGGGTGAGGGAAGGTTTATATGCCATCGACCTTGGGGGAAGAATAGGCACTCCTGATGAGTAGGATGATCTATAACACATTATACGCAGTTATGAATATGAAATTTTTAAACTAAGGGCTTATGTTAACTGTAACGATGCTATTCAATAAAAAATCTTATTTTTACGTTATTATAGGTATTTATTTCTATTAATATGTTTTGGTACTTATAAATTAACGCATAAGATTCATAAAAGGATGTTGAGGATTTCGATTATTCCTAAAACTCCATATCCTGGATATCCATTCCATACCCTGTGCTTGCTGTTTTTCTAAAATTTGACCTGAAAATGATCCCTCCTGAACGCCATATTGGCCAGCGAGAGATACAGACTAAACAATACAGGTCCGAACCTTGAAGGACACCCAGGTGCCCCATCCATCAGCCGGTATTAGCGCCCCTTATCTCCCCCCGGACACACCAAATTATTTTGATAGATCGCCGTGGAGGGGGGCTTTTTCCAGCCCTCCAGCTCCAGCCCTCGAAAAAATTGTGGACCTGGAGGCAGTAGTGTCTCAACTTTAATGAGAGCTTGACAGATTACTTATCACCTGGGGCTCCGGGTTTTTCTGGGATTATTGTCAACAGTTCACCTCCCAGGAGCGCTATCCATTTAACCGGAGGACGGGTGAGGTCAGCGGCAGGAAGGAGCTAATGAGAGGACATCTTCATCAGCATTTGGACCAACTTGGAAATCAGAACTCTTGCTAAAGCCTGTGTTTGGAAGTATCCGTTATAATTTCAAACAAACTTCTACAACGGGTAGGTTCAATTTCTATTTCTTAATTTTTGTTAATTAGATCTTAACCGAAAATTTCGCTAGTTATGTATACTACTTAATAGTAACTCTAATCTTTCAATAGACAAACAAGACCACACTAAAGCCCACCTGGACCTATGGACTCAAACTGAGGGTGGCAGTTATATTTTCAGACATCAAATATATCCATTCCTTATAGTTGAAGTCCTCCGAACAACAGACAATGCTCCACATTGCGTTACAAACAAAACTTAACAGTTTCATGACAACATCATCCCTTATGACGTTATTCTATCTAGATTCTCAAACTTTCACTAGAAACTAATCCTCCGTCCTGATCCCTCACCATAATAACACCTTGAGATCAGTAAAATCCAATATCAGTCTGCTAATAATGGTTTAAATAAGAAAGTTAATTTAATAGTTGTGTTAAATTAATTAAATTATTTAAGGCATCAATGTTACCTCTAAACTACCCAATACACAAAACAAAATTCTAAATACCCAGCTGCAATCATCACTATAGTCCTCCTCCAAAATAGTCCTTCTGCAGTTGAAACGGCAGTTTTCAGTCTCCACTGGAATCTCATACCAATGAAGTGTCTAAAAATAATTATGAATGTGTTTATGATTTTTTAAAAATTCTATTTCTAACTTTGATTATTTTCTTTTGTTTTTGTTGAGTTGTTTCTCTTTATTTTTGTAATTGTCTTATTGCACGTAGGGTAGGAATGTATCATATGTTCATAGCTCTAATACAGTATTTTACATAGGTGTGAATGTGTTTTATTTATTTTATTACCATTCGGATTTAATCTGTTATTTTATTTATTTTGTATATTACTTTATCTTTTTTTTTTTTCTACTTTGGGTTTTTATATTTATTTTCCTTTCTTATGTACATATTGTGTGAATGAATACTATAGCTCTAGTACCGATGCCCTTCATTGAGGCAAACTGTATTAATACTCAATAAAATGATTTTTTTTTAAATACTTACAGTGTGGCAGAATGTATCAATACATTTTTTTTTATTTGTTCATCACCTCATTACGCATATCAACCATGGTAGAAAAAGAAAGTTATTCTACAGGTCAAAAATCAGTCAATTTTCAGTCATTGATTCCGTTGGAACCCCGCGAAACATATTTTAATCCTTTAAGGCTAAACTTCAAATTGGCGCGTCGCTCAATACGGTTCTGGAAGGAAAAAAAAAATTGAAGTATTTTGATATCATACATTGTCCACATAAAATGTTTCAGCGATCGGTGTTATCAGAGGTGTCCAGGAGAGGATATCAAGCCGCAAGTTGTTCCATTATGTTTGTTTATGCGCATATCCACCCACGGGTTTATGAATATTTAAACCGAATCAGATTTTTATAGGATTTCAGTTAAATAAAAAAAAATTTAAAAAACCAACTCTACCACTACAAACCATGAAGTGCTTTGGATTTATTACTATGAAACGAAGCACTGGTTTTTGGTCACGGTTGGTTATTTGACAAGGAGGTTATTTGACCGAGATCATGCTCAACAACCACGTTTTCCTCTTCAATTATGGGAATAATAAAATCCGGGGAATAATGAAAACATTTTTAAGAAGAGGTAGTGGTCTCTCATTCTTTGAGGGTGGTCATATTTCAACAAATATTAATTTACAAATAAGTAGTGTTATTCAATGGTTAGAAGACTCGAAAAATAAATATGAGATTAATCAATTTCGAGCCAGTTCAGTTTTGAAATTTTTCACGATATTATATTTATGGGTTTGAACAACTCTTAATTGACTGCTTGAAAGGATTTTTTTTTTAAATGGCTGACAGATGTAAATATAACTACTAATGTTCAAATCATACTATCTCAACTTACTTAAACAAGATCAATTAGCTAGAAAAAAAGAACAGGAATTGAAAATAGATTGTTTGGGAGGAAATCGCGAACATTTCAAACAAAATATCATCTAATAAATCAAAATCAGTTTATAAGGTTATAATAAGACCGGTACTATCATGTATTGTACTACTCTTAGATCATTAAAAAAGAGTAAAATCAAAAGGTAGTTCATGTTTTCAACTTAGAGGCTAAATAATGTTTCACACCCTGAGATCAGTAAAATCCAATATCAGTCTGCTAATAACGGTTTGAATAA